CCACCACCCCACCACCCATCCACCCAACCACCCCACCACCACACAACCAACCCACCCCCCCACCATCCCCTGTGCCATATGTTGATCCACCATTGGATAAATGTTATTTCTGGACTCTTGTCTCTTCTTTCCTGTCCATCGTCCTCTAAACACGACCATTTCATTCCTCCATATTGTGCGTTTCATCTTCTATTCTAGATCCAGTTTAAGAACATGGCGTCCCGTCCCTTCTCCTTCTACTCCAATGTCCTGGCTGTGCAGTGGAAGGAGGAGGACAGCGTTCCCCCACAACACACCCGGACATATATAGGAAAAGTCAGCTCCCAGTTTGGGCCCTCGGGATCTGAGGAGTGTCGGACCTGGTTCTACACCTCCAACGGACACATGGTGAGCAAATGGTTTCACTTTTTTGGATGAGCAACATTTCTGAACCCTTTGTGTCCTCCACCCATCCTCAGCCTCCATACATCCCTGTGTGTCCCCCACGCATCCTCAGCCTCCATACATTCCTGTATGTCCCCCACCCATCCTCAGCCTCCATACATCCCTGTGTGTCCCCCACCCATCCTCAGCCTCCATACATCCTCGTGTGTCCTCCACCCATCCTCAGCCTCCATACATCCCTGTGCGTTCTCCCCCCATCCTCAGCCTCCATACATCCCTGTGCGTTCTCCCCCCATCCTCAGCCTCCATACATCCCCGTGTGTCCCCCACCCATCCTCAGCCTCCATACATCCCTGTGTGTCCTCCACCCATCACCAGCCTCCATACATCTCAGCCGTTCTGTGTTTCCACCCAGTACAAAGACTTCCATTCTGGACTCCTGGGACCTTTGCTCGTCTGCCGCCCGAATGTCTTGAAGCGCTCCACCGTGCACCAGATTTCGATGGAGGATTTCTCTCTCGTGTTCATGGAGACGGACGAAACCAAAAGTTGGTACTTCAGAGAGAATTGGCAGCGCCATTGTCCTTCCGCTTGTGCCTTCCAGGGCAGTGTATTGAGTTCCTGCCCTCCAGCCTGCATTGTACCCTCAGCCTCCGAAGACCTCCAACACGACCACATCTTTCATGGTAGGAGCTCCAGTCACCATGTGACCAGTTCTGTCCTCTGCCAGATGGAGGCAAGTTTATGGGGCATCTACTTCCCTCCCGGCAGTGAATATGCAGCTCTGCTCCACCCTCCCAGCAGTGAATATGCAGCTCAGCTCCCTCTGCTCCTCCCTCCCAGCAGTGACTCTGCAGCTCAGCTCCCTCTGCTCCTTTCTCCCAGCAGTGAATATGCAGCTCTGCTCCCTTCTCCCAGCTTTAACTCAACAGTACAGATGACCCTGCTCCTCACTCCCGGCAGAGACTCAGAAGCTCCACTTTATCAGCTTTCGTCTCCCAGCAGCTCAGCTCCCCTGCTCCCCCTCGCAGCAGTGACTTTGCAGCTCTGCTCCCCCTCCTCCTCTCTCCGAACTGTAACTCAGAAGCTCAACTTCCTAGGCTTTCATCCCTCAGCAGCCTAGCTGCCCCTGCTCCCCCCTCTCCCAGCTTTAACTCAGAAGCTCAACTTCCTTGGCTTTCTTCTCCCAGCTGCTCAGCTCTCCCTGCTTCCCCCTCCCAGCAGTGACTAAGCAGCCCAGCCTACCCTGCTCCTAGCGATCCCATTGGCCATGGAAGCCTCTGTTATCTCGCTGCAGTTACAGTGTTACCCTGCTCCTCACTCCCGGCAGAGACTCAGAAGCTCAACTTTTTCAGCTTTCTTCTCCCAGCAGCTCAGCTCCCCCTCCCAGCAGTGACTTTGCAGCTCTGCTTCCCCTGCTCCCCCCTCTCCCAGCTGTGACTCAGAAGCTCAACTTCCTCGGCTTTCTTGTCCCAGAAGCTCAGGTCTCGATGCTCCCCGCTCCCAGCAATGACTAAGCAGCCCAGCCCACCCTGCTCCTAGCGATCCCGTTGGCCATGGAAGCCTCTGTTATCTCGCTGCAGTTACAATGTTCCTAATATTTTTTTTACCTTCCTTGGCATCGTAGCAATCAACGGCTATGTTGGCAACTCTCTTCCTGGACTCGTCTTGCCTGTGGACAGGAAGATACGATGGCACCTGCTGAACATCGGAAGAGCGGACGTCCTCCCCGTGCAGTTCCACGGCAACATCCTGAAACAAGGGAGCCAGAAGGACCACCCCTGCAGTGTGGTGAACCTTTACCCCGGTGAGGCCGGACGGGTTATTTCATTCTCTGATTGGATTGCGTTTCATCCAAATTCCAAAAAGTCTTCTCCCACCTCGAGACTAAAGGAGTAGAGCGAATTCACTGTGCAAAGTCAATCAATGCTCAGCTTAGTGAAGGAGCTGCGTGGAATCCAATTGTCCAATCATGTGCAAGGAGAAAAAATCCTGTTATTTTAATTATCCTCGCACGTGATTGGATATTCTTTTTTTTTTTACTATGATTCTAAATTTCATTTCATGCATTCATTTTCATTATTATTATTATTATTATTATTATTAACCCCTTCGTGACTGATGACGTACAGTGTATCTCCCCCCCCCTCTCTCTCTCTCTCTCTCTCTCTCTCTCCAGGTGACAGGTGGATGTAAGCAGTCGGGAGCAATAGCCGGACTGCTATTGGCTATTGTAATAGCCAATAGCAGACTGGCTATTGAAACCCCACCCACTGAGCAGAGGAGCGGACCTGAGCGAGAACGTTGTCTCTCAGTTCCACTCCTCTGCTCAGTGGGCGGGTGCAATGGCCAGCCTGCTATTGGCTTTTGCAATGCGGTGGGGGGGTTAGTGGTCGAGGCTGCACCCTATGCAGCAGTGCGCCATAGGCGGCTGCCTAGTTTGCCTAGTGGCAGCACCGGCCCTGACACAGTGACCAATAAAAACCTGATAAGGGTCCTAATTCTTCAACAAGGAGATGCAAAGAACAATGTTGGGAGTGTAGTCAGCCGTAATCGTCAATTATTACCTTAGTATACTGAAATCAGTTAGAAGCAGCCGAGTTCTGATTGGCTACTACAGCTTTCTGCGTTTTGCACTTGTTGCTGCTGTAGATGAACCTGTAGATGGTCTATGACATTGCAATGGATGATGATTGTAGCAACACTATTGCGGCATTCCACTGAGAGCCAGAAAAGATTCCACTGATATAAATGACAAAACAACATGTCGTCCTTTTGTTTTCAGCTTCTTTGATAAGTTCCTGTACAAGTTCCTCTTAGACTCTGCCAATGTCAAAGAGGAAGCATTAAAAGCAATTGACACATACCGCGTGTCCACATGTGCACTTGGCTCCCTGTGCACATTCATAGAGAGGTCGTTGGGTCTTAGAAAAGACGTGTAATATGGAAAATACAATGGCTGGCTGAAATCATTCTCATATATGAACAATGGTTGTCACCTGGCCTTGCCTGCTCCTTATGTCCTTCAAACGTTGTGTGGACACCTGAACTAGTAGGCAGAGATTGAGTTAGTATCACCCACGAAAAGGGTTGCCAGGTACGTGTGGTCCTAGTCTACATGCCAAGTACCGGGCTGGGGTTATTATACAGGATTTATGTAGGGTGGGATGGTGTAGGAGCTTACATTGGGTTGATGACGTCACCTCCTCTACCACTGGAGGAGATCACATGCTCCCCCTTCCCTGAAAGCACTGGGTATTGTGCAGCGGCCATGATGGAGGAAGGAGTTGTAGGGGAACACTGCAAAGCTATCAGAGACTCTTGCTAGCCCACCTCCTGATTAACTTCTACTCAACCCACTGCAATACCCAGTGTAAGCTCCATGTGGGATGGTGTAGGAGCTTACATTAGGTTGATGACATCACCTCCTCTGCCTTTGGAGGAGATCACATGCTCCCCCATCCCTGGAAGCACTGGGTATTGTGCAGCGGCCATGATGGTGGAAGGAGTTGTGGGGGAACACTGCAAACCTATCATAGACTCTTGCTAGCCCACCTCCCTACCCACTTCCACTCAACCCATTGCTTTTTAGTCTTTTCTTGTCACATTCATTGTGTTGTCTGTGTCTTCGTTTCAGGTGTCGGGGTGACTTTGGAAATGACAGCTCAGACAAGTGGCCTGTGGCTTATAGAACCAGAAGGCGTATATAATAACTATAACATGACAGCGCTGTACCTAGTCTATAATCCAAGTGAGTCTATACAACGATACCACGATATGTAGAGATGATTGATTGAGTGTTTGTGGTACTTTTAATGGTAAAAACATGGCATTGGTTAATCGTGTTTTTAGCTTGTTGCAATTAAATTTACACCATATGGCCAAATGTTGGTGGACACCTGACCATCACACTTATATGAGCTTGTTGGACATCCTATTTCAAAACCATGGCCGTTATTATAGAGTTGCCCCCTTCCACAATGGCCATTAATATGGAGTTGGTCCCCCTTTGTAGCTACACCACCCTTCACTCTTCTGGGAAGGCTTTCCTCAAGATTTTGAAGGGAATGTGTGTCCATTCAGCCAAAAGAGCATTTGTAAAGTCAGGTACTGGTGATTGGTGAGAAGACCTGGCTCACAATTGGTGTTGTAATTCATCCCGAGGGTGTAGGTTGGGGCTCTGTGTAGGGCACGTGAGTTCCTCCACTTCAAACTGGTCAAACCATGTCTTCATAGATCTGTCCATTTGGCCAAAAGATCATTTTTGAGCTCAAGTACTGATGTTGGATGAGAAGACCTGGCTCAGTCTGCGTTCTTCCAATTCATGCAAGAGGTGTTCAGTAGGGTTGAGGTCAGGACATTCAAGTTGGTCCACACCAAACTGGTCCAACCATGTCTTTATAGATCTGGCTTTGTATGTATGAAGATTCTGGAGAGTGTTTGAGAAAATTTGTGTCCATTCAGCCAAAAGATCATTTGTGAGGTCAGGTACTGATGTTGGATGAGAAGACCTGACTCACAGTAGGAGTTCCAATTCATCCCAAAGGTGTTCAGGAGGGTTGAGGTCAGGACACTTGAGTACTTCCACACCAAACTGGTCAAACCATGTCTTTATGGAGCCGGCTTTATGCACAGGGGACAGTCATGGTGGAACAGAAAAGGGACTTCACCACAAGGTTGGAAGAGCACAACTGTCTACAATGTCTTTGTACGCAGTAGTATTGACATAACCTTCACTGGAAACACCAGAACTCAGTCATTTGGAGGGGGTTCAAATACATTTGGCCATATAGTGTACATATCACCATTACATATTGCTAGTGAAGTGTCTTGTACATGTACTTTGTCCTTCAGGGTGTCACCAACCTCTTGGTCTATCATCAGGAAAAATCAAAGATTCACAGATTACTGCATCGGGACATTATGGTAAGAAATGTATTTCTAAAGAACTGTGATGAGGATGTAAAACAAAATATGAGCAATCTGGAATATATTTGTGTTTATAATGACCAGGAGCATCGGCAATACTTAACCTTTCAGAAACCATAACCTATCGAGAAGAGCAGATCTTGGGGAATCTAGACTACCAGCACCTTGCCTTCAATCTGCTTCACTGGGGACAGATAAGTGCCTTCTAAAACCACGACTTTACTAGTCAACTGGAAGTTTTTCTCTTATCAGAGTCAGGGCAGGATTTACTTTCCCTGCTGCCCCAAGGCCAGGTTTCTCCATGCGCCCCCTCCCCGTCAACACCCCCCCCCCACGCGCCCCCGAGGCGGGCCCGCGGGGCCCTTTGGC